AATAATGTTGATAACACACTGATGTTATACTTGTTGCTAAGTAATGTTTAAGTCAAGGACTTTTTAGTTTCCCGTGCTCTGCCAGCAAGGAGGTGCACAAGAAGCTGGGAGGGAGCACAGCCAGGACAGTTGACCTCAACTACCCAAAGGGCTATTCCATACCATAGAACGGCATGGCCAGTATAGAAACTGGGGGGAGCTGGCCGGGAGGGGCCGATTGCTGCTCGGGGATGGGCTGGGCATCAGTCAGCGGGTGGTGAGCAGCTGTATTGTGTATCACTTGTTCTTCCTGGGTTTTACTCCTCTCTCTCTTTGTTATCTCCTTTTTCATTACTATTATTATTATATTTTACTTTATTTCAGTTATTATCTCAACCCACAGGTCTTACCTTTTTCCAGTTCTCCTCCCCATCCCACCAGGAGCAGTGGGGAAGAGTGAGTGAGCGGCTGCGTGGTACTTAGCTGCTGACTGGGGTTAAACCATGACATCCTCCTTCTCCTACCCTCAATCTAAGAGCCTCTTTGGATCAGTCTAATTTAATGTTTTAATAAGCTGCCATCACCAACATTTAAGAAAAACACCACTATGCCTCTAGTAATTTTTCCCATGTCTTCTCAGACAAATATACCCATATAAAATTTAAAAGCCTTTGCTGTTAACAGAATGACGTCACAGAATTGGAGATAATGGTTTCTGAAAACTCTTAAAGAAAAGCACAAATTCAGGTCCTGCAAGGAATTTCAAGCAGAAAAAGTTGTTCATTGGCATTGGACTCCATGCAATATTGGAGGCATTTTTCAATAGATGTCAAACACTGGGTCATTTGTGAATAAGTATAAAAGACTACGTTTAATTATCAGTTAAAGAGATTAATCTCTCTCTGGACTCAAATGTCTTTCATATTCTGTTTCTGCTAACAAGCAAAACAAACCCCAAAACAAAGAAACAAAGTGGCATATCTCTTTGGAGATATGTGGCCATATCTCTTTGGAGAATTAATATAACATGTATACTGCTTTTCTTGTTTAAACCTAGTCACAGGAAAATCAGTGTTTTATACAAAGCACATGACAGTAATTATTTAAATAGTTAAAAAAAAATAATCAGTTTTCATTTGGGATTTTCTGCTGCCTTCAATATCTTTCTGAACATTGAAGTAACTTGCAAACCTCACCATTAATGTATCTTCTACCTGTAGCATAAAAAGTAGTATATTACCTTAAAAATACATTTAGCAGAGACTGAAGTAATTTTTTATTTAGTGAAGATCAAATTTAATGAGTCATGTACTCCTCATTAATTAAATCTGATGACATTTCAGTCGAAAGTAATGCAAAAAGTAAACTAACAACAGTTCGCTTACCCAAATTCAGATACAGCAGAAAAAAGGAAAAAGTAAAAATACCTGCATAAATACATAATAGCACAACTAGTTTGGAACTTTAACAGATCACACAATTTATCTACGTTTGTGGCATATCACCCCTCACGCATTTCACTACTCTACTCTGCAAAGATGCACAGCTTTTATGAATGTATCCATATATCCATACAGCTTTTTATCAAAATGACTCAGAAATATATCTATAAGCGATCTGATCACAAATATTTCCATTTACTGTTGAGTCCCTCTTATTTGAAGGGTTAAACTCTATTTAATAGTTCAAAAAAAAAAGAATATTTAGGAACATTGGCAATAGCAAAAATCGGCTGCTACCTGACGAAATACTTTAGGTATTAATATAGTGAACATTTAACTACAAATATAAGCCAGCTTCCTCCCAGGAACGAATGTATTACTCCTACCCTAACTTTGTTTTGACAGTACATCAAATCTTTCAAACATTCTAAAATTTATATTTTGGGTTTTTCTCCACCTCAACCAATAATTTTTAGAGAAAATACAGAAATCAGATGGGCTTCCAAACTCATTGTTTCTCAAAAAATGTAGTTCTAATTTTTACTGAAAACATTTATATGGTCCAGAAAAAGTAAATTTAATCAAGTATCTTTCTACAATGGGAAAAATTTATATTGAATAATTTTACCTTCAGAGTTATGCGTAGTTTTCTTGTGTTTTCGACATAAAATCCTATAAACAAAGTAGTTGAAAACTGTCAAGTCAGTCACGATTCACAGATTATTTACTCATCTTTTAAATTCAAATGCCAGTACATTTTTCTCCCACTTGTAAGACTCACTGATGTACAAATCTTGCAGTGAAAATAGGCTTTTCTAGCACATCACTATGTTGAATGCCACAATCATTAGAATTTTTTTTGCAACAGTTTGGTTTAGATTCCAAAGTGGGTTTTTTTTTTTGTTTTGCTTTGTTGGTTTGTTTTTTTTTTTTAAACAAAGAATGTGAAATATAAATTAAAAAAATAAACACAGCAAATAAATAATAGTTACATGTAAATGCCTTGTGAGGGTTTCTCTCGTATCTGAGCTTTATCATGCAAAGCACAGTAGTAGTGATATGTCTTGTGACATGTTTTCACATCACAGCCAATGGTTGCTCCAGGACAATGGCATAAAGAGCACATCTGTAAAGAACAAGAAAGCACAATTCATGTTACCATTGGCTTAGTATTTCTGAGTTCAAAAATAATACAGTTACCACTCCTGGTGACAAAATAAATGGAGTTATGCACTTGGCATTACTCTTCCTGCTCTGAGATATTTTTCACAATTTACTTTAAAATGAAGAAGAAATTTGTTGCAATTATGCAGCAGCATAATAACCATCACACATTGATTATCAATTCAACGAAGAAAATAAGTAATTTACTTCTGTGGAACATATTTGATGAAAGTGACACAGCTATTCACCCAAATACCCCACTCCCAAGAATAGTTTCTTTGTCCCAACCTTTTCAGAAAAGTTAAAATCATAAATTGTAACTGTTTAATTCTGAATTACATTATGAAGGTAAGAGGAAAAAAAACCCAAACACAACCACCCATTTGGCAATGAATCTTGCAATCAGAAATACTAATGACCTGCAAATTTACCTTAGCCTCAGCAGCTAACTTTACCTCTTTATTCAATACAGTTATTTCCTTAAGCCATTTCTAAAACACTGAATTTAGTGAAATATTTGTTAAATACAATGAATTTATTTCAATTAAACTACATTTTTCTCTTTATACTTCTATTGCAGAAAAGGTTAAATGGGAGCCTGTTGCTTTACTCTTCTTTCCCAATAATTAATTCTTCTCATATTAGACTCACCATTGCTTAGGATATACCAACTATTATGCTTCTAAATTGTTCACTGCCCTTCTTATACTGTGTTAGGAAAGGAAGTAATTGACAGTATCACAATATTTTTCTCTGTGTTATTTTTTACTGATGTAGCATTGCCTCAAAATCTCAGAATTTCCCATTAAACTCCCCTCCCAAGACAACTGGAGCTTTTTGTTTGTATCCTGCACATTGCTCATGCCCCCAAAAGGTTACAATTAATTCCAAATCCATAAGCGTAAGCGTGCAATGTAGGATATTCCCTACATATAACTTTGTGGAATATGCATTCTGTCCACCACACTAGCAGAGTCAAGTTCTTCCTGTTAGTCTCAAATATGACAAATAAATATACGACCAAAGATATCTATCATCATCCTGTTTTTCAATTTTAACAAAGTTAACTGAACAGTAAAAATGTCAAAGCCTTGGATCATCTCCATTTACTCTTCTCCAAGCTTTGAAATGGTATAGTTATATACTGTTCCCTAGTTGTCATCTAATTTGTATGGGTATCTTATCTCATAAATTTGTTATATGTTATGGTTCAATATATAATAATGGTTGATCAAAGCTCTTTATAAAAGCCTAGGTTGAAATTATATCCATCCAATCAATTTTAGTTAGTACTTCAGTATTTTGAAAGCCAGAAATGACTGAAAGAAAACTTTCTTTTTATGAACACCATGATGTATCTGTATGAACAAAACAGATCAGAGGAACTTTTATATATAGATTTATTGGTCTATGTTTCCTGACAGTAATAAAATAGTTATTCCATTGGTACAACTCCTGCTACCTGAATGTCACTATCAAGGGATTAATTCATTCTCAAGGTATATCAGGTACATGTGAAGTTTGACAACCTGCAAAATAGGTAAGCTCTTAAAAAAAAAAAAATCCTCCCATGCACAGCTAACAGAAATAATAACGGTATCAGTGCTTGTACTCCCAAACGTTTAGACTTCCTAAGTTTTTATGACTGGCCTATTAAGGTTTGAATCTACAAGTTTTTCTCACAGAGATGTTGTATCGTCAGAAAGGCTCTACATGTCAGTCATCATCACTTCAGTAGTGGACAGGTCTCAATTTTCAGTGCATACCTGGTCAGCAGTAGCACCTCCTGAAGGAGGACAACTACATAAAATCTGTCAGCAGACAAATTCAGTCCAAGCTATCAGTATAATTACTTAACCCAGTGCACCACACCGAGATATTTTTGCTCAACGTGTTCCCACATAAAGGAACAAGCTAGATCAGAAGGCAAACCTCAGAGGTGGTATTTGGGCTAACTATAAACATTTAGCTTCAAGCTTCCTATACAAGTCAACGGAGAAAGATGGATTCCTCCAGAGAGTGATTCAGAGTTGTAATTTTCTGACAGCTACAGACAGAGATAAAGCACTTAAGATCTAAAATTATCTTGTAAAGTCTCTCCAAATAAGAAACATCTCAGGACTATGAATCTACCAGGTTAACCAGATTCAGGTTTTCTGCAAAAAGCTGAACAAAGTGCCTGATATGTACAGCTAGTGAGCTCCAAGAATACATCCAGCTGTTGCATCAGTGAAGGAACACAAAGAGATTCAGAAGCAGAAAGACAGAAACCACCAATGACATAAAAAGAAATAACCTTCAAAAAATATTTAAGAGGCCTAAGAATCAAAAAGTTTCTTTACGATCCAGTTCCATTTACTATCATGTTCTTTGGAAATTCCTGATCACAACATGACTGACTTGTGAACGCTTATTTCTGTAATGCTTCAACTAATTAGATCAAACTAAGATCCCTACATTGGAAAAGATTCAAATGAAACACTGAATGAAATATTAGACTATTATTATATAATTGTAGCTCTACAATAATACTTCGGACGGACTACTCTTAGTAGTCTGAGAACTGGTAAATATGTAAGAGTGCTTTAAATAACTAAGCTGAAAATTTTTAGTGAGGAGTGAATTGATCGTTCGTTAAAAATATTTTTAAAAGCCTCATTCATTTCCCCAAATGGAAAACAAGTAGCTCTAAATAAAAAAAAATAAATAAAAAAAACAGGAATTAGCTTCTGGGAAATTAAAAAACGTCTTTGCTGCTCAATTCTCATGAATTTGGTAGAGCTGTAATCACTATTGTACCCACATACCTCATAAGATGTCTATATACACAAAATCATCTATTAAATCAATATAAAAGGAAGCAATAAAAGTACCTTTGGTAGTTAAAACTAGATTTTGGCAGCAAAATCAAATACTGGTAAAGGCACAATAATACCCTCGCCAGATCCCTAGAATGTGGGTTTCTTTCTGAAATCTAACAGAAAATATTAAATAGAAATCAATGGATTAGTTTAAATTTAGGAAATGCTATTGTTTATATGCAGCTCATCAAAAAGAAAACCAGGCATATTCTGTAAATGAGTTTTCAAATTTACTTGGAAAAATGCATGTCTGCTACAACCATCTACATTTGCCAATGAGGAAAAAAGTGACTGTAAAAAACGGTAATTCTGGATTCATTTTTTAATAATTCCATGATTAAGCTACAATTCTTAAAGCAACATGTTTACATGAGAGCAGAACTTGACAGAAATAAACAAACTACTTTTTATCCTTTCCTAAAGACACTTCAAGGGTTGGTTAGCTGACTTTTAAATTTCATTTCAATATAAGTATAATCATATCTACTGACTTTTTCTTTTTATAAATGAGACCAATTTTACTTCAACATCTTCCTCTATAAGCTGTCCATTACCTTAGAGCTCACACAAAGGTAGCACTTTAAAAAAAAAAAACAAACCCAAAACCAAACATATATATAATACACTGAACAACTTCATGGTAAACTTGATAGAAGGTAAGAAAATATTGTCTTCCATTTTCAAGAGTCAAAAATAGAGACTTACCAGTTTAGTACCTCTCTTTATTTCTTTCTGAATATCTTCAATAGAGAATCCACCCAGACTCTCATTATCAGTGTGTGAAGATACCAGTGCAGATGAGAAGAGCTAAAATTATTAAAAAAAAAAAACAACTTATTTTTTAAGTTTTAAGGGTGTAAGTGATACACAACATTTATATGCATGAAACCCATAAAAAAATCAAATTACAGTCATTAATCATTTGTGTCAATGCCACAGCTGGTTGAATTTTTCATTTGTTTGTAGTCTTTTACTAGCTCACTACATTCATTTCCTTTTTCCTATGGGTTACTTACCATACATTTGTGATGTGCTGCCACCTTCTGGTTTTCTGACATCAATAATTGTCCGCATTCATTATCTTTATTAGATCTACAAAACCCACACTTCCTTTGTCTTGAAGAGACTTTTTTCTGTCCAACTGAGCTTGTCATGATTTTAAATGACCTTAGAACGCCACTTCAATCCTCTCAATGCTACAGAAAAAAAAGGTGCAATCAGCATGTTAACACCAACAAAAGGCAATTGAACTCACAGTTTTATAAATACAATATTGGTTGCTTGAAAGTGATCTGTCCCTCTTTATCCTTTTCTTTATGCTACTTCAATATATCCAAATAAACATGCACCCAGCAGAGGCAGTATTTTGCCAACTTTTTATGAAATTGTATCAGCAAGTAGAATTAGTTCTTTAGGCAAAAAACTCTGAACATTAATATAGAACTTTGGATACTAATACAAAACTTACGGAGAAAAGAGGAAATAAGTGGGAAATACAAGTGCAGCAATCATTGGGGAAAAAGTTACTGCAACTCTTTCATCCCGTTCTTATAGTTATTTATTACAACAAAGGAATTTGTAGAAAATGCACTACCCATGCATGTAATAAAAGTCATGCTACTGAACTTCTTCAAAAACAGAAGCAAATAAAAACTCCAGACTCCAGTAGAGCATCCAGAACAGGTTTTGAGTCTAAAAGCTCACAAAGTACCACAGCAGATGAGTAACCACCCTTAGATGAGGGTAGAGATGAGAAGATAAAACGCTACCATTTTAGGTATTACAGAGATACATTGTGCCTAGTCGAACAGCATTAGGAACAAAATTTTAGAAGGATCTGTGGCTAACATGCTGCAATGGAAACTTTTTCAAGACCCACAGTTAATTTAGCAGTACCATACTAACTTTCAGTAAGCACATGAGAGCTGCTATTCTCATCTAAGAAAAGTAACTTTAAATTAAACTCAACATGAATCACAAACTTTTCATGTGTGACCAGCAACACATTTTAAAATGTAACATTGAGGTCCCAATCCCCATATCAGGCAGACACTGCAAGTTCGAAAGTGAAAATTCCTAATGAGTGCACATGCTTCTTAACCCAGTATTAAGTAGTTTGTGTTCATTTGCTTCTACATCTCTCAAGAAATAAAATATCCTCTTCAAACAGACTTTCTTACAGCTTTTTACTTTGGAGACTTGAGTCTTACTGTCAAAATTGGCCACAACTGCAATAAAAGCATCCTCCTCCGCTTCTGTCTACATTAGATTCATCTAAATAAGAAAAGCCACCATAGAGTTTGATATTTCTGTTGGAAAAAAATATAAAATCCAGCCATAAGACTAGCAGAGTTGCAATACATCTGGACTGTGCTACAACGGCAATCTACTCGAAAATGCACAACTGTTTTTTGAAATTTGCATAGGCAAACCTGCCTGTTTCTCAGTGCTGCCAGACTCTCATAATACTAGTATCACTCACCGTTTTTCTAATCGAAAGCAGAGGAATGTCATTAAGTTTCTGTTGTCACATACTACTGCTAAAAGACGATCCTGTTAGATTCTCACTCTTCTGTTTCAACAGATTTTCACAGACTGAGTTTTAACTGTTTGTCTTGCAGTGTTTACTACAAAACTCCTGCATCAAAAGGCGTCTGTCCTGTATCTATTGCCTTTGCTTTATCAACAGCTTCATTTGCTTTCGTGTATAACTGGAAAGCAGTTTACTAGCTGGTGACGCATACTCATAAGAAGAATGCATACATTTCAGATCTTGCTGATTTGCACAAAAAATGTGCCAATCTGGATAAACTAGTCACACCCTTTTGCAGCGGCAATAGAGAGTCCTTAAGTGTTAAACACAAAAGATTTACTATACTGTATTCTTCTAAAGAAAAAACAAACCAAGACCATTCCGTAATTCCTTCTGAGTAGAAAGAAGGAATGGTTTCTGAAGGGAAGATACACAGATTTTCAATTTTTTAAGTAACTTTTTAAAACTTAAAAAATCAGGCATCAGGAAAAAGACCTACAAAAGACAAGCAGGAAATAATATCACAAAGATTTCTTGTTTTCCGGTCACATTCAATAGCTCAACATGAGTCACACAGAGATGGGCTGGAAGTATATTAAGAAAATAATTTAAAATGCAAGAAGTTCTGCTTTGGTATAAATAACTTGATATACACACCCACATTCATTTGGGTCTACCTGTTTCATTCTATATTCAGATTATATTATCAATACATTGACAGCAACTGTAGCAGTTCTTAAAAGGATGATCAGGAATTTCCTTGAACACATGCATCGGTTCTACTAACAGGAAGAAGAATTACTACTATAAAAAATAGCTATCCTTCAATTTAACAAGCAAATTCATGTTTTAGAAAATGCAAATAATTTATAGAACACATCAAAATTTATTAAGTGGCTCTCATCATCTTTAATTTGTAAGAATAATAACTTTCCAAGAAACAAGATTATAAAGAACCTTCTCACAGCTGGCTGCAGTCAACTGCCTTCAGCTTCATGCCTTCCAGTGCAATAACAGGCACGTCACTACAGCAATACTAGAACCTGACATAACTTAACTTTTTGAAGTACTTTTGCATAATTAGATTTTTTTAAGGCTCACAGTGAAGTTAAAATAATGCCAACATTTATTTGATGATGCATGGATGTTGATGTTATATATATATATATATA